ATTAAATGATGTGAAGAAGATGTGAAGAAGATGGAAAAAAAGCAGTGATTCTATGTTATTCTGCTGATGCGATGAAAACATTTAAGCAAAGATACAACTTTAGGGCTGAATCCCAAACCCGCCCCTAAACACTAACCCTCTGTTTGCGCGTTTCCCGCAGAAGACCCGCCACATTAAGGGCCGTCCAAAAGCCCATAGTGGGTAGGGCCAGAGGAAGGCTCAGCCCTTAAATAGTGAGTCAGCATCAGTGCAGGCTGGCTGGCGTTGGGCAGCGGGTGTAACAGCGGCTTGATGGCGGAGGGAACATGTGCATTTAAATGTAAGTTCCACTGGTTTGCAGCATCTTCGTCACACTGACAAAAAAATCACAAGTTAGGAAAAATAAGAAAGACGCCATTAATCCCTAAATGGAAGGTCCTCTTTGGAATAGTTTTATTTGACTGGATAGATTTGTTTTTAAGAAAATGGCAAATGTTTAATGTTATGTTAACCCTTTATAGGGAAAGTTACTGTTTTTGATCACTTCCATATTCCTTAAAAATGGAGTACCCCCCCATCCCTCAGTGAGGTCTAGAAGCACAAGATCTATATCCAGCCATTCAGCAAAGATCCTGCTACATGGCTGCACATCTGATTTTGGCATTTAACCAATTAGATGAGCCCTTCAATGATAGATTACTTACTGGAAATTAAGTTGAAAAAACTTAGCAATTCAATGAAAAAAGGTAAAAAGTAAAGTTAAAAAGTTAATGAGCCTAGTTAACAATTATATTTTGGTTTATGAACTAAAAATGTAAGTGCCAGGATCAGCATTAATGACTCTAAGGTTATGTTGCTACAAAAAAGGAAAAAAATAGTGTTTCTGTGACAGCCTTGGTTGTGTTTTATTTAAGCTCAGATTCTAATATCTGTGCAGTGTGGGTACTATCTATGGAAGAAAAAAAGTCTCATTGGAATCTGCCATTTTTTAACACTGAATTTTAAACACTGAATTTTTTTTAACAATCATTTGGACGGTTTCCAAGCCAAAAAGGGACTTTTTTCCACATCCCCAGAATGAGGAAGTTTGCTGCATCCAATGTCTCATCTGATTGGTCAAATGCCAAAATGATGAGTATGGCCACGTAGTAAGATCTTTGCTGATTGGCTGGATATAAATAATGAGTTTCTGGAACTAACAGGGAATTGGGAATGATTCAACTGGTGCGCAAGTTACCAAAAACGGTCACTTGCCCTATAAAGGGTAAAAAAAAAAAAAAAAAAAAAAAAATTTAATTCTGTTTAAAAAAAAAATCCTAATTCACCCGGGAACAGCACTGAGCGCAGCCGTTGTGTCACGTGACCAAATGAGCTAATTTCATTGGCTAGAAGCTGCTCGACTCTATCGAGTGTAGAGTTTTTGCAGCTGAATTTTTTGCAGCTGAATTTTTTTCTGGTGAATTTTTACCACATAAAAATTGAGTGCAAGGAATTCAATGTCTAAAAAAAATTCAGTGTTTAAAATTTGTTGCAAAAATCGGATTTGGGTCACTTCAGGCTGCTGTCAGTGAGCCTGTAGTTAAGCCTGATAGTTAAGGGTCACTGGGGTCAGTGGTTAGGGCCCGGTTTGGGATTCAGCCTAGATTGATTCATTTGATTTCTTGTTCATCTTCTTCTTGTTTAATGGAGGCTGTTCAGTTGCATTACTGCCACCAACTGGTTCCTGCTAGATTCATACTCTTAAATTTGTGATTTATTCTTGTAGTTTCACTAAGTTGTAACTTTTAAACTTAAATAAAACACCTGATGTAATAAATATTGAAAACATAAAATATTTAATTAATTTAATTTACAAATTCAAACTCCTAATTGTATGTTTTTACCAATAGTTATTTGATGGTACATAATTAAACCACATTATATCCTGATGATGATGTTTCTGTAGGGGGAACTCAGAGAGAACCTATGCATGCAGCATGAAAACTTCATGCAGAAAGATTTGCAGGCAGGGATTCAAACCCAGAACCTTCTTGCTGGAGGACGGGGCTCCAATGTACAGTTTAAAAACCTCCTTGACCTGATCTCTGTGGCCTTCAGAAATGTGTTTGCATGGTAAATAGTGTCTCTGTAGATCCAGGCTCAAGGTTTTAGCCTGCAGTGTGTTCCTGCTCATTCTCAGAGCAGCCATGTGGTGGCGCCACAGAGCCATGTGGTGAACTTAAAGGTGGAAGTAGAATGGCTTTTCTTATTCTCTCTATTCCAGAGTTTGGCTATGAAAAGGTCTAACATTTTATCAAAACATGCTTTCATGATCTAAGGATTTTTTAAGTTGGGTCTTCAGCTCTTCCACCTCAATAAAGGGAGACTTTATTGAGTCTCCTCTTCAACTTTGTCCTTTTTATCCTTTTTGAAGATACTTCCGTCTGAGATCCTCCAGGTCAGCTTCATGTCTCCATTCAGCCCCTGATCCTTCAGCATCTGTTTCAGCTGAGACAAGAAGGTTCATTAACTTCATGTAACTATAACAGCTGATCTAAAAGCAGGTTCAAAATATACCTAAAAATAATTGTATTAGCCTTTCATTCAAAGTTATATCATTGGTGATAAGGATTAGACTGGTAATCTGTTATAGCGGGTATTTGCTTTAAAGGGGAACGCCGTTTTTTTTGGTCCCTTGATT